AAAAAAAAAAAAAAAAAAAAAAAAAAAAAAAAAAAAAAAAAAAAAAAAAAAAAAAAAAAAAAGTTTGAGAAAAAGGGTTTTTCTGGGAAGAGGAGAAATTTCTGTGTTCTTTTTGGTTACCGGCTTCCAATGGTGGCGAAGAGAGTGCAAATGATTCTATCTTCCTCAGCTGAAAATTCACCATGCTTAATATTTGGCCTCAGGTAATTCAGCCATCTCAATCTGCAACTCTTCCCACACCGTTTAAGACCTGATTCAAACAACACAACTCAATTCAACTCAACTCGTTAAGCTAATATCGATTAAAATGCTTGAATTTTAACGTCCGAACATGGAAAGATGATAAGTTTATAAGTAAGGAATGCGTTTTCATTGGTAAGAGGCCTTTTAGGGAAGTACAAAAGCAAAGCTACGAGAGTTTATGCTCAAAATAGACAAATATCATACCATTACGAAGGTCCGTGACTCCTAAAAAACATACCAGCTTTGTGAGGAAGGGAAATCCAATTGCCACCAGTCCCATAGGTTTGTATGAAGTGTTTGAGCTTAGTATCCTCTTCAGGTGACCATGGCCCCTTTTTCACATTTGCTTTGTCGCAACAAGGCGCCCTTCCCATGTGTGTGGCTTTGTTGAGTTTAGATCTCTACAATAATGGTGAAGCTCCAACCACCTCCCACTCTCTTATATAACAAAAAAAAAAAGAACTCCTACGCTAATAATTACATGAACTTGGGGTGTATTGAGTTTGTTACAACCATACCACTCTCCAAAGTCTTCATTATTGCTATAATATAATCTCTTTTCAACAGGAAACCTCAACAAGTAATCAAAAATTATGTAGACCGAGCGTTTTGGTCCTATCGATAATGACATCCTCCAAACCCCTCGACTACATAATTTGACTAATTTTGTACTTACTTTTGAGAATATTTGCTAAAATTACTGCCCCTGAAATTCTCTCTTTATAATTATCAAATAAATTATAAAGTGAACGGAAGGAAGAATAAATGAATACAAGTGAAATATGATATCTATGGTACATTGTTATGGAAACAAATATCTTCAATAAAAGGTCGAGGTATCTATGGTAAGTCGTAATTGAAGGTTAAATATCCTTAACACACCTCGCAAGTTGAGCATTGGATTTGAACGAACGTGAAGCTTGGATTTGAAAAGTTTAAAGACAGATCGATAGAGAGTAGAATTAGAAAGAGGAGAACCATCAGCAGTCAGGTGTTGAAAAACAACCATAGGTTGTGGGCTACAGAGACACAAGGTAGAAACTTTAGAATTAGGTCGATGGCTCTATTATGAGAAAAGGACAAGAGACAGAGGGAGAGAGGGTAGTTGTGAAGAAGGAAAGGTGGCCGTGATGGCATTAGAGCAGTAGAGGAAGAAGAGAGGAGAAACTGAGAATGCGAACTCTGAAGTGTATTTTAGACGAAGAAAGAAAGAGAGGGGCGAAGACGGAGTGGAGTCGGCACCTTGTGGATTGATTTGCTATCGAGCAAATGAGCACAAGTAAGAATATCTCGAGCATATTTTAACTGAATAGTAAATAGATCATCATGAATGGGTAAAGAGCCACAATAATAGATCTAGAGACAGTGATTCTGTTCACAGCACCACTATTGCCAAGAGTGATGCCCTGTCGGCGGAGCCGGTAGAGAAGTAGCTAACGTCAAAGCATGTGGTGAGGTTTCAATGGACGAAAAGGGCGTCATGCCCCCGTCGCAAGGGATGAAGACAGTGATGAGGACAATATATTTGCATCATATAAACCGTCAAATATGATATCTACCGTAAACCGTAATGGATTGAATTAAGATGGGAGGGTAAATTGGGATAAAAACAAGGGAAATAGAAGTGGGGACAGGAAGGTGCATGCATGAAGAAATGGATAAAGAGAGAAAGTGATGAGAATGGTGATAGCAGATATGTATATCAAATGTGGGCTTTTGGGTTTACAACAATCTCCCCCCTCCAATTCATCTAATGTCTATGGATTGAAAGATGGATCATACACACTCACCAACATCACATGCATTCAATTCTGAACATTTCTTCAATTGGGACATTGTGTACTGTTGGATGATGACGTGATCTATGCATCGCTGCCAAAACAATCAGTCCTAGGTTGTCATGGGAAATGTTTGTAAATTGTAATGTTGTAAAAATCAACACTTTTTTAAATTTTTGGGTCTAAAATGGGAACCTCGAGTGACCCGTGTTTTAGATTTGGGGCGGCTCGAGCGGAGACTACCCCTACTCTCTAATAGTGTGCTAAAAGAAAATACGACGTGTGGGATCCTACATCCTCCAGTGAAGCATTTTTTATAAATGTTTAGAAACCTCTTGTTAGCATACGCGTTTTATAAGTTATGAGGAGAAGCTCGAAAAAAAGACATAAAGAAGACAATATGTACTAGCGGTGAGTTTAGACGACTGATTCATGTCTTACTTGACAACGGCCTCATAGATGTCAAACTAAACCTAATTTAATTGGTTTATGCTTTTAATTAATATATATATATTAAAAGATTAACGATCAGAGGGGAGTGGGACCCAGGAGCTATATTATAAATGTTAGTAAGAGAAAAAGTCAAAGAACAGGAAAGACGAGTTGGATTTGATCGAGACAAAACTGGGAGAAAGCGAGTGACGTCACCAATTACGTGTCCATATCACTTTTCAAACCTTTTTTTTTTTTTTTTTTAATGTTTTTCTTCTTTGCTATGTTGACGTGGCATTCATACTGCCTCCACTTTCTCCACCATTTTTGTCTTCATTCGCTCTCTTCTCATTTGCACTCCAACAATGACTAAATGTGATATAATGTATTTTTATTATAAATTAAATTGCTTTCAAATTTAATTTTAAAATATCGATTCTTAAACTTTTAATTTAATTTTATATTTTAAAATATTGTGTAATAGGATTATCACCTAGTCGACATATTCTTTCACAAAAAATAACCCATTAGAATGCATGAATGGAATATAAAATAGATATGATTAGCATAAATTTCCACAAATAATTGATGGGATTAGATTCAAATTTTTTTACCAATAGACTCTAATTTTTCACATGGTTGGTAGAAAAACCATTGACTGAACTATTAAATCTTGATTTAAAATACATTTGGTAATCTTCAATAATAGTAATGATAATATATTTTTTTACAAAAGTGAATTAATAAGTTTTTTTTAATAAAAAAATCAATCCAATTATTATTAGTAAACTCTATCTATATATAATCTATAACTAGACTAATTTAACTAAATGTTGAAATTATTGATTATTTCGGAATTATAAAATTTGAATTCATTTATGATTAAAAAAAATAATAAATATTTGTACCTATTCATTTCAATTTCCTAAAGCTTGAAAACCTTAATAACGTAGAAGTTAAAATGGCCCATTGGGCTCAATAGAACTTTAATGGACCATTCATGGGCTTTCCCTCCCTTAAAGCCTCCCTACCACACATTTTCACATCAGTTATACAAAAATTATATAAATTTTTGAAACCTTCACTGAAGAAAGAAAAAAAAAAAAAAAAAAATCCCGTATGAAAATGGATTAACTTTTGGTATCAATTTTTTACCCATTTTTTTACCTAATTGATTCATGATCAACCAATAGGCAAAATAAGCATAGTCTATTGCTATCTATTTCCTACAAAGAAATCATAGTTTTGAATCTTGTTGTTCCTATATATTATTTTAATACTTGAAAAATGAATGGTCATCGATGAACATAATTAGATAGGCAAGCAACAAAAGCTAGCTAGGACCACATTTCTAATTCTATGCAACTTCTAAGTTGGGGAAAACAATCATATAAGTTGGGGAAAATAATCAACCATATTTCTAATTCTATGCAACTTAGAAGTTGGCGAAAACAATCATATAAATGAGTAAATGCGTGACGTCTCTATTTATATGGCAACTATTCAAATATTTAAACCTAAGAGTACATAATATCATACGGATTCTCATACGAATTCAAGAACATGGAGATAGAAGATATTGTGTCAAAATTCTATGATTAATCTATTTTTTTTAATTTCTTATTTATAATGGGAACGATGAATCCTAAAAACCTTATAATTTGAATCACTCCGGCCTATTGCGATTGAATGAGAATATTTACCAGTCAATAACAGTGAAAAAGTGTCATTTTAAGGATCAAGGGAAATCCAAAATCACATGAGATGCATGAGAGCAATGAACCACGCAGTGAGATGAGGTTTGTTCCTAAAAATAGAATATATGACAAAATCAGCCGTCACAGTAAATCAAGGAAAAAGAAAAACTCAACACAATTGTGATTCCAATTACGGTTTGAAATAATGCATGAAACTAAAGCGAGAAAGTAATTACCTTCATGGAAACCTTTTATGCTGAATATTGGCGTCAATCAATTCGTGCTTTTCATGCCTTATCTCCTGCAAAAGCACTTCACCAAAAACGCATAGATGGGCCATTTTTTGCGACATCAATCACGTTATTACTCCTCCTCTTCCTTTGGCTTTTCCATTCCAGAACAGAGCAGCAGCCATTGCTTGCTACTTCTTCCAATTTCCATACACTGAAACCAACAAACAACATTGAGAACAAAGAAAGATCAGACACGACAAGTTTTTTGTGTTTTCTTGAATTCAAGAGGATTACGATTCACACGACAAGTTTTTTGTGTTTTCTTCAATTCAAGAGGATTACGATTCTTTTTCTTTCTCCACAGCCCCGAAAATTCTGTAATGTGGGGCCTTAAATCTCAAGAACTCCCCTATTTATTCCCAAATTTCCACTCCATTTCTCTTCAATTCTCTGCCCCACGCCCCCATTGAAGATTGCAGTGGTATGCCATCGTATTCCTGCAATTTCATGGCTAAGCCTTCACTTTTCGTCTTGGTTTTTGTTGTTGTGATGTATCTTAGTACTGCTCAGGGTCCACCTCCTTTCCCTGGCTACTACCCCAGTTCCTCTGTTCAATCCAAAGGCTTCAGTGAGTACTTTGCAAACCTCTGGGGTCCTCAGCATCAAAGGGTCGATCAAGGCACCTTGACAATTTGGCTCGACAAAACCTCAGGTCCACAAGTTTGGTCCCTATATTCACATTCTCTCTGACCCCATTTCGTATTTTGCTTGATTTTTCTCTCTGCGGCATTTCGTCGAACAGGTAGTGGGTATAAATCACTGCGCTCGTACCGATCCGGTTACTTTGGTGTTTCTGTTAAACTCCAATCTGGTTATACTGCTGGCGTTATCACATCATTCTACGTTAGTATAATCATCATTACAAAACCCTTGAAAATGAGTTAACCAACCTGAACTAACTGCGTTTCGTTTTGTTCTCATTTAGCTTTCGAACAATCAATATTTCCCTGGAAACCACGACGAAATTGACATCGAATTCCTGGGAACCACGCCGGGGAAGCCATACACTCTGCAAACAAACGTTTTCATTAGAGGAAGTGGAGATGGAAACGTAATTGGAAGAGAAATGAAGTTCCATCTCTGGTTTGATCCCACACAGGATTTCCACCATTACGCAATTCAATGGACTCCATCAGATATCATGTCCGTATAATTTATATTCAATACACGTCTTGTTTGTACAGATTTCCAATGATTAATTCCATCGTCTTGACAGTTTTTTGGTGGACGACGTACCGATTCGAAGATATACAAAAATGAACGACGCAACTTTCCCAACACGGAAAATGTGGATTTACGGTTCGATATGGGATGCTTCTGAATGGGCGACAGAGGATGGAAAATACAAGGCGGATTATGAGTACCAGCCGTTTGTATCCAAGTACCAGAACTTCAAAATAAGCGGTTGCACGGCGGAGGCAGCGGAGTCTTGCAGGGGAGACTCCGGCGGGATGAGCCAAGAGCGGTATCGGGCGATGGAGTGGGTGCAGAGGAATTACCTAGTGTATGATTATTGCCATGATCCCAAGAGAGACCGTACGCAGATACCTGAATGTTAAAATTAAACCTAAGCTTAAATAATTATAAATTTACCAAAAACAAGAAAAAAAAAAAAGAAAAAAAAAAAAGAGGTTTGGTGTTAGGTCTTGTGATGGGTCCAGCTTCGGGGAAAGGTTCGGGTATTGCAATACTACGTGTGCGTCCAAGGCCCACCAATATTTGATTACGGGGTTTATTTAAAATGTTTATATATAAGAAAATAGTCAAAATAGTGGCTGTTTTGTGGGTACAAAAGCTTCAAACTTTTTTATTTTATTTTTCATTTTAATGAATTTAATAGATTAATTTAGTTAAAGAATCGGAACAAAATAGATTGAGAAACGAACCCAACTAGCCCATCATGGGAAGGAAAAATTGGGTCTAAGCCTAAGTTATGGTAAAATATTTATGACACAATCAAAATGACATTTATTTTGAGTAAGGTAAAAAGTCCTATTTTACTTTTTAATACGATTAAACTTGATCATTGAATTATTGGACACAATAGTTTCAGAAAAAGTTAAAAATTAAAATTGACACAATCATGTTAGGTTCCACATCCAATTCTCTGCTTACAAATCTTATCCCTAATTTCTCATATTTAATGCCTTTCTTACTTAATTTTCAATTTCTAACCATTTAACTTCCACAATTAAATTCCTACACAAAACTATATTACCATTTCGGGTCAAAATTTTAAAACAAAAAAATAATACTCATCTAATTTCTAAATAAAAAATATAAATATATATATATATATATATAGTTGTCAAATAGAACTAGATGTCAGACACCAATGTTATTTTCTTTTTAGAAGGAAAAAAAGGGCTATAGCAAATATGAAAATTACAAAACAAATCCGACCTTAGCTCAGTTGGTAGAGCGGAGGACTGTAGTGGGCATTTCATCAGTTAATCCTTAGGTCGCTGGTTCGAATCCGGCAGGTCGGATATTTTATCAATAATTTAACAGAAATTAAAGACAATTCGTAAGTATTTGTGTTAAAAAAATGTGACTTCGGAACACAAATCCGACCTTAGCTCAGTTGGTAGAGCGGAGGACTGTAGTGGCTTTCCAACAGCATATCCTTAGGTCGCTGGTTCGAATCCGGCAGGTTGGATATTTTTTGATTAATTGAACGGAGATTAAAGACAACGTACAAGTATTTTTATTCAAAGAAATTTGACTTTCGAACACAAATCCGACCTTAGCTCAGTTGGTAGAGTGGAGGACTGTAATGGTATTCTAACAGCATATCCTTAGGTAGCTGGTTCGAATCCGGCAGGTCGGAATATTTACAAAAAAAAAAAAAAATTAGAGTAACAGGTTACATTTGTGTGCCAATAATTGTGATAAAATTGAATGAGCCCGTGACCTGACGACGACTGATATACCTCTACACTGAGCCCGACAATTACACGATTGTGTAATTTAAAGCTCTGACACTCTTCAGCTGTCATAAACTTTTCTCCCACTTTCTCCTCTCTCATTATAATCCCATCCACCACCACCCTTCCCTTCCCTTTATTTATTGCATTTTCTGCCCTCTACTTTTCCCCCCCTTTTCATTTAATAATTCATACCAATTTTATACACTAAAAAATTAATTTCATTGCTTAAAATAGATTATTCCATTTTTAGTTTCTTTATTTAAATGTCATTTAATTAAAATGAGACAGAAATTAAAAAAAAATCAATTCAATTCAAAATTAAATATTCTCATTCACATGTATGGATACCACCACTGGTCATTATTATATTTGCTTCATTAGGCTGTCCAATCCGAAGCGCCCACGTGGCCTTCTCACCCCTTGATGTCGTGGCTGCTGCTACTAATATATTCCCGATGAATACTTGACCAGCTGTATTTGGGCCCCACCATTACAAATGAAATACCATTCTTCACTGTACGACCAGTTTCATGCAAAATCCAGCTGTCTTCCACCATCATCCCCATACCCAACCACACCCACACCCACGTAGGAAAGGTAGACCACTTTTTAATGGAAAACTCCGTCAATTAACTGATGACGTGGCCTACTTTTATTGCTTTGAAACCCTCGAACGCCTATACGACCTGTCCAGCTTCTCCGACAGGGCATGAACCACCTGCCATGTGGCATCGCCTTCTTCTAGCTGATCGTGGAACAGCAGGGCCCGCCGATTCCTCGGGTCCCATAAGTTCTTTTGGATAGTACTCAGATTGGAAGCTGCCACGTGTTCCAGAATCTCCCCCAATTTCCCGATATCCTTTTCCGCCACGGTTATGGATATCTCCGCCCAGTTCACGGCGGTGGGGAAGGGCAACCGGATCCCGTCAGCTATTATTACCGGCACGCATCCCAACGCCACGGACTCAACCAGCCTCGGGCTCCACGGAGCCCACCCCAAAGGGCACAAACAAAAAACCGAACGTGCTATCTCTGACTGGTAACCGGCAAATCTGTGCCTCTGCAGGTAAAATCTCCGATCGCCGTTGAATTTTCGCCAAATCATTGTCCTCACCTTCCTAAAACCCCGCATGAGGTAAGTAAAACTTCACATAAGGAAAAGTATTATTAGAAGAGAAAGAGTTACAAAAATGTACTTGCTGTAATAACGTCCGCTGACATTCTTGGGATTCACCTCCATTTTACCCCTAAAGAACGCGAAAATATCTCTCCGGCCAGTCACCGGCAACTTCTCGAGTGTACCCCGTACAGATACCGGCGAAATATACGGCGGAATAACGACGTGTTCAACATCTTGACACGGATGTTTGTAGTTGACTCCAAAAGTTTGCAATATAATCGAGTTCTTCAAGAACGAAGGTACTCCGTCAGCTATGGCGACATCCTCCTGGGAAACAAAATTAAAATTAACGTTGGACTAAATCAAACTTGGGTTTGTTGTGTTGCGCCGTTTAATTACCATGGTGCGAAAGCAAGAAGCGAAGTCGTGAGAAGCGACAAAGACATGGTCGGAGCCATTGGTGCGATTCCAAAAGGGGTAATGAGAGGAAATGAAGGCGACGGCGGAGGCAATGAGGGAACGAGCATGGCCTATGGCAGGGAAGCCATTGATGGTGCTGAAATTGCAAGAAACATAAACAGGTACGAAGAAAAAATCAGCTGCAAGTGGGTCAAATGTCCTGTAAGTGCTGTTCATAAGGGCTCTATGAATGGCCACCTCCGAAGCAAACAAATGGTTAGAACACCGCTCGTTTGTAGTCCAATCCACGTTGTATTTCGATGGCAAATCGTACACGAAAACCTTCAACACTAAATCACCCAAAAACAAAGAATCAACAAAATGGTTCATAAAACAGAGTCAAAACAGAGCAAAAAAACTTGAGGACCTTGATTTTCTTGAACTTGGTGGAGGAATGTATCGTGTGAAGACTCGATGAGGGCACGAGAAGCGAGCTTGAATATGGGATTTGGGAGATGGGTTTTGGTGATTAGAGGTGGTTCATGGTTGTGGGTGATGTAATAAGAGGTAAAAAGGTAGAGTGAAAGAGTAAGCGATAAAACCCATTTGTAATATTTGATGAAGAAGCTCTGTTCTTGAGCTCTTCCGCCATTTTTGTGATGAAAAAGCTTCATTTTCACATAGAATCCCCTCCTTCTGGGGTATATTTTAGACTCCACCATCTCATTTAATACCAAACAATTGAAGAAGAAGAAGAAGAAGAAGAAGAAGAGCTTGAAAGGGATTTGAAACAAATGGAAAAGTTGCAGAGAAACAAGGAAGATGAGAGAAAAGCTTGGTTTCTTTAATTTGGGTCAGAAGATGGAAATCGGCGGAGACGACGGGTCCACTGTTGTTTTAAAATTTTGACAGTTGAAAAAGACGGAAATGACCTCATGAAGTTTGTTTATAGAATGGGTTGAGCGTGGGGTTTTTAGTCAAAGTCGAAGTGTTTGATTATAATCTAATAATAAGATCTTAGAGGTGCATTTAATCAACAAAGCTCTAACTTTTCTTTCTCATTACTAAACAGATCGGCTGCTTTTCCCGATAAACAAACCAGCTTTGCTCTGTCCAAACCTGACAACCCCTTACCCACTTTTAAGAAAATTTCAAAATTTTAAATTCAAATAATAATAATAATAAATTCTTCCTTCCAAAACTCCTATAAACCCTAGAGTCCTCGTTAATACACTGTCTACCGTCCTCTTGTATTAACACATTCTTTCCCTTTAACGTGTAATCTCATAGTCTACTTTATTACTGGCCAATGTGCTTTTGTAACAACCCATTGTGAGTTAGCTTGCTCTAGTAACACTCCACAGTTTCTCTCTCCAACTGATGTAGAATCTCACAATCTACTCTTAGGGGCCAGCGTTCTCGTTGGCTTACCGTTTAGTTTTTGCCACAAGCCCACTACTAACAAATATTGTATGCTATTAGTCTCGTAATTTTAAAATGAAGAGAGTTTTTGGTATAAATACACAAATTTAATACTTGGAATAGGAATATATGTTGATGGATTGTATAAAATTTGATTGTGTTAGCAAATGAAATGAAGTCACGTGCACGGCAAGGCATAGCTGCAAAAAAATCATATGCCCATTCTTTACCCTTTAATATTCCTCACCTTCCTCTTTTATTATTGTTTTTTTTTTTAAATTTTTTTTTTCTCCCCATTTTTCTTCTTATTATTAGTTTAGGGTTGGTTCCAATTTTTTGCAAAAAAGAAAGAAAGCAAACCCACCAAATTCCCCTTCGCCTTACGCTTTCTTAATCCGCCATTAACTTAATTAAACATGTTTAGTTAGCATACACCACTTACTTAATTAATGTGTTAAATTACAATTTAAAATTTTTAAATACATTCGCTGGCAGTGGGCCCCACACTTCATGTTCTTTTATTTTTTAAATAAATCAAGTTTATCTGAGTATTATGATTTTTACCAGTTGACTTTTAAGTTAATTTACTCAAACAATGTTACGTATGTATTATTTGAGATTAAAGATGTTCAATTATTGAAAAACGAGGGGTCCATTTGATTCGTGTAAAATGAATATATTAAATACGCTACGAACATTATGACTAGGTTTATATATATATATATATATATGTGTGGGTATAAGGCAATCATAGGGAGCCCCATAAGGCTAGAAAAAGAGACTTTAAGGTCGGGTTGTGCGAGGGAATATGAAAAAAATGAGGAACTGTCCATTAAGAAAAAGAAAAATGTAGGACCTGCCCTCCCTCGGTAGGGAAGGAACAATGCTAACTGAAAAGAGAAGGGATAAAAAGTGAAGGGATGGACCCTTCCTTACATTACATTTGTTGGAGGACTTATATTAGCTGAACTGGAAAGTTATGGACATTTTTAGGGGCACTGACCCTACACTGTTCATCCATTAGCTGTCCAACCACATGCAAACTTATAAACAAAGAGAGCTCCAATATAATAATATATATATATATATATATATATATATATATATATATATACACATACATACATACATGTTCGTCTCTCAATCATCTAATGACACAAAATGTTTGACATGTGGAAGATCTCATGTAAATGGAAACGAAACATTTTTGAAAGGGTGTGGAAACTTGTTTCTAGGAGACATGTTTTATATCTGTAAGATTGGCGGGATAAATGGATAATATCTATTGACGGTAGATTTGGGCTATTACTCAAGAGGGGTGCACTGTAAGATCCTAAATTGGTTGGAGAGGGAAACAAAATATTGTTATAAAGACGTGAAAAGCTTTCTCTAACATATGTGTTTTAAGAACTTTGAGGGAAAGTTTGAAGGCAAAAACTTAAAAAGGACAATATCTATTAGTAGTGGACTTCCGTCGTTACAATGTCTCCATACTAAACATGTTTTAAAACCCTGAGGTTGATATGGGTGTGTTTTAATACCATAAAGTTGACATGGATCAGAGCGGACCTGTAATATTTTGACTTTTCCATTGGTATATAAGTCGTTGGGTTTATTTATTTTATTTTATTTTATATTTTGGGCAAGGAATTGTATATCACATCCTTCTTCTTCCACTTTTTCTTTTTCTTTTTCTTTTTCTTTTTTCTTTTTTTAAAGTATAGTTTTTATTTATTTATTTATTTATTTATTTTATTTTAGATTCTAGAGGTATAACCTTGGTTACTTAAGGATTAAGGGTTTCAAAGATAATAAAGGAGTGGAAGAAACAATTACGAATCACGGATGATTATGCGTATTCGTGACTAAAAATAATAAGAACTTTAGATAGCGATAGGGAAGAATCATTCTTCCTTGATTTCCCATTTTTTTATATTCAATTTGATACCGTCGTTAAAGACCATGTAGTAATTTGAATACATGAATAAGACTTAGAGATATTAACACGACCCACTAGGCTTAGTGATCACTTCTCTTTCACTGTCCCATAAAATTCTTCACTTAATTTTGCCGAGATCAAATTTTTCTAAAAAAAATATATAAGGTTTATGATTTTTATTATTTAATTAAATACAATATATTTTCTTATAAAAAAAAAAAATCAATTTAAATGGTTAGAAATTTATATGTAAAGAGAGCGTTTTAATTTCCTTAAAATATAAAATATTAATTTATAAAAGTGTAATATATTAAAAAAATCAAGGAATTCGGCCCATGTTGCAAAGCCCATCTGAATGAGATCCGTTTCATGAAGCTGGTCATGGGCCGAATGGAAGCCCAATGGATTCTGGCGGGCAATTTAAAGCCCAAAATTATTAAAGCATCAATTGGACGGCCCAGAATTTGATTTCAAAATAATCTAAAATATTAAATGGTAATGAACCGGAGTGTGGAAGTCACGTGCCTTTGATGATTAGTTTATCATTTTATATTCAGCTTTCCAAACGTGTGGGGTCCTTTTTTATTTTCCTGAAATTAAATATATATTTGTAAAAAAAGAAAGTTTCTATATTTGGTCAACTAACCCATGAGGACTTTTGAGAAAATAAATCGTGAAAAATATTTTTTTGGACCCATTTAAGTAATTTACTATATTAAAAATAAAATAAATTAATATATATAAATATTTTTTTGGACCCATTTAAGTAATTTATTATATTAAAAATAAAATAAATTAATTGGGCGTTGGAAACTATTTAAATGAAAACGTTGTGATTAAATACATGATTAGACTGATGACCCACCTAAAAATAATAATTAAAGAGACATCTTATCTTATACGAGACAAATTATTCAAACGTAGTAGCTTTGTAATAACTATTAAATATTTATTTAATAATTTTTGTGTAAATATAAATGGGAGAATTTTTATTTTTTATTATTATTTTTTTGTTGCAATTATTAATATTAAATAATAAGGAAAAAAGGGATGTTGGTGAGTGGAGCCCACGCGGTTGCAATAAAGTTTGGCATCTCTATGGTATGCTTAGGAGCACAACTTTAGACCTATTATGACCCCACCACCCTTGGACTTTTCGCAATAACTTTCCCTCCAATTAATCTTCAATCGACATTCATTGTGAGGCTGACAACGATATGTAACGAACCGAAATATAATGTCGATTGTAAAGATTGAAATTGTTGGATTTTAGATCGTATGGGGACTTTTGATCCCACTTATGTTCTAATTTAGGGAATGATCGTGAGTTCATAAACAAGAAATACTCTCCCATCGGCACGAGGCCTTTTGGGAAGCCCTTTTGGAGAAGCCCAAAGCAAATGGATCACAAAGAATCACATTATGTCTCATCTTTTTAACATGATTTTGTTCTAAATTATGGTTAATAGGTACACTAATTAATGATTATGTTGACAAATGAGATCACTTGATATTTTAAATGATCAGGTTCGGGTTTATCAAGGTTTTAATTTCAGTTCATATATACACTGATATAAGCTTTTCTCCTTCGTTTCGAAACCATTTTCGGGTGTTGACTATTGATCATATGTGTCAAAACCATCAAATTTGAACACTTCTCACATCTTTCTCTCTCTAAAAGCTTATGGCATTGATAATGAAAGGTCACATCTTTCTCTGTGGGGCTCATCGCACATGCTAAGCATTCCCTAAGTCAGAAATGGATGCATGAAATATCAATATCTCACATGCAATATTTGTTTTTAGTTATTTACATTTCATCAAAATGCTCTAAATATCGCATCATATAATGTTTACATTATGAGTATCAATCCTCCAACCAACTGATACTCACTTTCTCTCTCTCTCTGAAACTGTTATGGACAACCAATGCAGCGCTTTTCTGGGTTGGGCTTACTTCTTCCAAGGAATGGTAAAAAAGTTCTTCTTTTCATCAATATTTCCAGAATTTGGCTTCTGGGTTTGTTTCCATTTCTGATTTCTTTGTTGGGTTTGTGTGCTTTCAAACAGAACATTGAAGAATTGAGGCATTCGCTTTTTTGTGCAACTCTTGAGCTGGAACAGACGAGGGCTGCAGTTCATGAGGAGTTAAGAAAGAGAGATGAACAGATAATTAATCTCAAAGAACTTTTCAGCAGAGCCAATCGAGAGAGGGATGAAGCAAATGAAAAGATCCAGAAGTTACTTATTGAGAAGCTTTTCCTTCAGCACCGAACAGGTCAACATTCAGGAATTTCCAGTGTTGAAGATGAACCAAGGAAAGGAATTGATTCCAGCAATGGCTTCTCCTCGTCGGATTGCGAAGAAAGCATTGTATCGTCTCCTGCTATTGATCCAATTCCGCCACCACAGTTCGCTACATCTCTGCCGCTACAAGCACCGTCGCAGGTTGCGGTCGAATTGGTTTCAGAGAAGCCATTGCCTGAGAAAGGCAAGCTCTTGGAAGCAGTGATGAAAGCAGGCCCTCTGCTTCAGACTCTGCTTGTTGCCGGACCTCTTCCTGAGTGGAGACACCCACCTCCGCCACTTGAATCCTTTGAGATCCCACCGGTGACAGTTCCTTCAACGCCACCACCGCAGCTCCTCCGGGATTCTCCAGTGACATTCAATCGTAGCAGCAACATTACCAACTGTGGAAGCAGAAAAAGAGCTTTGTTGGAAGGCTCTGATTCTCCAACCGAGACGAAGTGTCGAAGGCTTGCTCCTCGCTGACCACTACAAAAACCAGAGAGCAGCAAAAACACAATCATAGTATAGTATTTCTTTTTCATCCTCCGTCTGAGAAACGGGTCGAGTTTTTCCAGAATTGTTTGTCATATAAGATGCAATTCCAATTCTGAGATTCATCGTGTTCGAGAGCTTGTCTTAGATCATAGCAAAAACATAATAACTAACTGATCAAACACTCAACACAATAGTTTACAGACTTTCATACCTCCAAAATTTCTATCATGTTGTCACCATCATGTTGCATTTCAAGTTCAATCCGGTGTCTGCCTAATTCATAATATATCAAAATACAAATCAGAACATTAGGCAGGGCGAAGAACTGTAACATCAAAAGCTTCATCCAAATATGATCTTTGTGTTTCCATATCTGTGGGATTACCTGGGGAAGAGGGGTTGGGGAATCATATTCATTTCATTGCAATCTACAGATAATATTCAGAACCATACCAACCAATGAGCAAATAGGCATATACAGTAAGCAAACAAGCCATTTTCAAATTGCATAAGCATGTCCAAGTGAGGACAAAATAAAAATTTTCTCCGAAATCTCTGCCAGTTGACCACAAATGGCTATACAAACAGGCCATTTTCAGCACAACGCCATGTGCTGTCTCTGCCCCAGTCAACACGGTGATGTTTGTTAAGTTAACAGGGTAGACTGCACTTTAAACAAATCTTGACTACTTCGATCAAATAATCAAATGGGCATGGGTTTGGCTGTCTGGCTATCTTGTTTCTTCATTTGGACAAGCTTCTTGATAGCGAGAATGTAACAACCCAAGCCCACCACTAGTAGATATTGTCCTCTTTAGGTTTTCTCTCCCGGGCTTCCCCTCAAGGTTTTAAAACGCGTTTGCTAGGGAGAGGTTTCCACACCCTTATAAAGAATGCTCTGTTCCCCTCTCCGACCGATGTGGGATTTCATAATCCACCCTCTTCGAAACCAGCGTCCTCACCAGTACACCGCCTGATACAAAAACCACATACGTCCAAGACAAAGCTCAGGCTCGCCTGAGAATGGCTACTAAAAATCCAAAGATAAACTTGTAGTGACAATAAAAACCATATCAAATGGATATTAATACGATATGAGCAATACCAGTGTTCCCTAGAAAGGAACATAATACACCATTGAAAACAATAGAAAACAGTACAAGAGACGGCTTCTATAATATCATAAATTACCATATCAAACGCAAAAAAATTGGTTTCACATTTTGTCTACATTGTTAAAAAAGATTCAAGAACATATATGGGCCTATGAAACTCTTATCTCAACAGCAGAAAAATAATCTATGCATTGCAAGGAACATAGAGATCAGCTAAATTCTGATAGGTTGAACCTGAAACATAACCCCAATCCCAAGCCGACAAGACATGTGCACTATAACACCAGATATAGTAATTTGTCATCAGTAGAAAAATCCAGGGTGCAACATATTTGGAATGAGTTACAACTTCAATCCTCAGCCGTTTTTATTGCTATCTTGATTGTTTTGATGGTTGTGTTTCTCAGCATTCTACACGTCGGCAACCTAATTTGAAAAAGGAATGTGTGAATGTTAGAAGCTTTGCAAGAACAGTATTGAAAAATCCATGGGACTAAAGCATACACGGGGAATCCCATTGTTCGCATCATGAATAGGAATTGAAACACTGACTTTCGGTTTAGGAATAATTAGAGCGGAGTTTAGTACAACGTTCCTCGAGCATTGATTCAGAAAATCCATCTCCTAGGAATATATATTAGCGGCATAAGAACAAGAACTTGTGCTCGTGAAACATACCTGCCTGCGCACATATATGTTGGACAGGGCGGCCGGAAGAACTGTGAATTGGCGATAAGAGTTTTGGGTTCTGATCGGACTGTAATTGTTATCTCTTCAATCGTCGCCGTGGGTTCATTTTTCCTTGAATTGAGCTCTTCGAACTCTGCGGCTTGCTTATTCCGACCCTACCTTCTTCGCGCCATTTTGGAGTGGACAACATGGGCCGAATTTAGCCCATCAAATAACCTAAATGGGCGGGATTTAGCCCATCAAATAATCTTCAGCTACAATTTGCAAGAATATATATATAGTGTTCTCCTGTTCTTGAGAAAAGCAGGAAGTTAAAATGTGATTTAAAAGCATCATGTGGCTATTCTATGAGGCTAGTCTTCTCCATTCATAAATGTTTGGAGCTAGACATCGTGTGATGGACCAATATTGAATTTAATGGAAAATACAACAGCAAGAATGGTTAAAACAAGGCCGAATTATTGAAGATAGTCATAAACTTTGGTATTTGTTTCAATAATGTTCTTGAAATTGAATTGAACATCTGCAGAAAATTATGCAACAGACCACCACACGCGGCACTGAAGTTTCAAGCACACAGCAAAATCGGGTGACCCACGTAATCGTGTAGTATTTAATGAGACCGATGAAGAAGATCAAGCATGGTTCCTTGGAGGAAAGGGAGCAATCAGTTTCAAGCAGCGATGGTGCCCCTTGCCGTACCCGCCATGTCGTTCATCGGCGTGCCTCTTTCCTGACAATTATTCCATGATGTCCAGCAATTGTGTTGCTAAAGATTTGCTAGCAGAATCATTCAGTGACTCGACTTGGAGCTGCTCCATCTGGGTTCGTTGTTCTTTTCCTGTAAGGGGATGCCCTCCACCTGTTTGTAAAAATGCCCCTTCGTATTTCCTGATATTTTTTTTTAATGATTTTCGAGCCTTGTGGGTGCTGTATGGTTTTTAAATCATTTGATTTGGTATTGCAATACTTAGTGATTGAAGTTTTTGGTGTCTTTTAGCCGTATTTCGTCTGGTTTCATAGGATCCAAAATACATCCATATCGTCGAGTAGAGTGGTTGTGGTGGTTGAGTGGAGTCAAGTAGAGTGGTTGTTTCAAGTTTAAATTTTCACCTGTCAGTACTGTAGGCATCAAGGAGAAGTCCAAAGCTACTCGGCACTTGAAAGAATAAGGATTAAATTTTGCATTTTCTTTTTGCCCCAGAGATGTCAAAAAGAGGCAACTAGACAATCTAAGCTAGCTAGCTTATGGCGTTCCACTGAATCAGCCTAAAAAAAGAAGCAAATAGGGAAGACCCCCATAGAATGAGGAGGGTAAGAGCTTCTTGTTTGGTTTCCATCGTGTCCCTCTCAGTCCCATGTCACCACGCCTCTCTCTCTCTCTCAACAAGCTGTCTCTGTACCATTGAGCAATAAACTCGGGCGAGCTTTCCTTCATCAATTAGTTCTCTACTTGTTCTCTTGACATCAAAGATTTTTCATTTTTGCCCCATATGATTGACCCTTTTTCGCTTTGGCTGCAATATAGCTTGGAGTTTTTCTCCTTCCTCTGTTCTCAGATCTGGCATTTACTTCTTCCAATTTGTTCTGTCATTTGTATTAATTGAGCCCTCTTCTCCATGCATCTGAGGCTGTCTGATCCCGACTGGTTTTTTACAGGGATTCTGCTATAACTGTTCCTTAGGAAGCTCAAATCCTAGAATCTGATCGATTGGTAAAGCCGTTTTGACGAGGGATTGATGTCTTATTGAGGTGCTATGGAGACGAGAATGAAGAAGTACAACCAACTGAGTCCCCAGAGGGCTAAGGTGTGGACTGAGAAGTCGCCCAAATACCAACAGACTCGCAAGGTGCCTGTGATTTACTATCTATGCAGAAATAGGCAGCTCGAGCATCCTCACTTCATGGAAGTACCACTCTCATCCCCTGAGAGACTGTATTTGAGAGGTATTGCTTAATCAAACTGTATAAGAGTATGTTGGCTCTTGCTGCTAACATTATCCCCTCCCCCTCCTTTCCCAACGATTTGATATGCTTTAAAGTAGTTTTTGCCCAGATGTGATCAACAGGCTTAATGTTCTCAGAGGAAGAGGCATGGCGACCTTGTACTCTTGGTCTTGTAAGAGGTAAACTATTGGCAATCTTTTCATTTTTCTTTCTTATCTGTTCGGATGTGAAGAACTATTGGAGAGAAATCATCTGAAAACTCTGAGATGTCTAAGTTTCTGAAATGTTGGAATGTAATCTGTTGGGCCTAATTATGCAGAAGCTACAAGAATGGATTTGTTTGGCATGACCTCTGCGAAGATGATGTAATTCTTCCGGCTCATGGAAATGAGTATGTTCTCAAAGGCTCAGAGCTGTTTGAAGAGTCCAATTCTAGTAAAGGTTAGTATAAAAACTTGGCCATATAATGTTTTTAGACGTAATAAGGCTGCATACTAGGTTCTGGTTCTTGTGTCAAAGAAGTAATGAAAAAATATTTTGAAAATTGGATAGTTCTCACAGACCCTTTCAGTTCCATCGGCAATGTGAATATTCAGCCATTGAAGCAGTTACCTGATCCAGCCTCTTCTCAGAGTCAGGATGATTCTTCATCATCTTCAAGCATGAACGGAAAAGAAACTAAAAGTTCTCAAGAAGATGACCTCTCGCTGTCTGTCCTTCGACCCGATTCATCAAGCATTTCACTGGATTCTGGAGGTGGAAAGAGTTCATGGGGTGGTTGTTTTAGCTTGACAGAATACAAGGTGTACAAGACTGATGGCTTGTCGGATGCATCGACTCAGACTGAGGAAAATGTCAGCACACCAAAAACACGAGAAACTTGTACAAGAGGAGTTTCAACAGATGATGGGACCCTAGAATTGGAGCGTAGTCAAACCGTTAACAATGAGGCTTCAAATCGAAAACAAAACTATGATGCCCCACAGGATTCCATTTCTCCACCCCCATTGTCCTCTAGTGCTTCCTCTTCAGCTGGGAAGACTGAAACTTTAGAGTCGCTCATCCGAGCTGATGCGAGTAAAATGAACAGTTTTAGGATTCTTGAAGAAGAAGAAATTCGGATGCCAACCAATGCAAGACTCAAGGCTACTAATGTGTTAATGCAACTTATCTCGTGTGGATCAATATCAGTAAAGGACCATAGTTTTGGACTCATTCCATCATACAAACCAAGCTTTTCTCACTCCAAATTTCCCTCCCCACTATTCTCTAGTACAGTGATGTTGGGAGAACTCAACCGCCTGTCTGAGAATCCTAGGATGATGGGCTTAAGATTGGAAGGCAAGGAATATTTCAGTGGTAGCTTGATCGAGACTAAAATGCTGCAAGGGAATGGAGTTACAACTTTAAAACGATCATCTTCTTACAATGCTGACAGGTACCATGGTTTTAGTGGATAGAGGACCTAATTGTCCAGTGTATATCACCTTAACATGCCAAAGGGTATTCCTTGTTTGGATTGATGAAACTCATGATCCATGATTGTGCTGTTTTCTGCCATTTAATTCTCTTCGCCTCGTTGCGTAGGAAGTTAAGACGATATAAAGTTCCTACGGTACATTTTTATGCCATTTAAAGCTTAAAGATTGATGAGAGATTATGCAGATTTGTGCATAAGGTTTTTTTTTTTTTTTTTGCATATGAATGTTGGTATTTCCTGTTTATTTTTATACAATGCACATTAAAAGTTGTGTTGTTAGCATAGAGCTTTAGCGATATGTATGGTTATTTCTTCATAAGGCTTCCAACAATGAGCTAATTCTGTAGGACATTTAAGCAGTTGAATTCAACAGAAGACAAAAATGAGTCGTCCTCAGGCCACTCAAAGTGCATTCCACGTGCTATTAAAGCATCACTAAGCAAGCAACCACGAGGCGAGCCAATGAAATCTCCTACTTCCGATCGACCGAGAACATCTTCTGATGGAGTTGATAGCTCTCAGTCCATAAGCCGCAGTCCCTCCAATGATAGCAGTAAAAGGATTACAGAGTCTTGCTCCAGTAGGAGACAGTCTAAAAGGCTAGATTCCTTTCGAGAAGACGAAGAGGATGTAGTCAAGATCGAAGAAAGTTGAGTGCAGTCTTGCAGTTTTCTTAATAGATTGTCAAGTTTTTGGTGAATCTGGGTTGACATTTTGTTCAATTTTCTTGTCACAGGCTTGCTTCAGGAGCTCGGGTTATAATCTGGTCAAAATCAACACTCTGAGGCAACCTAAGGAAAAGCATGGATGGATGCCTCAGCTTTCGGCCAAGTAGCAAAAGCTCGTTCCCGCCAAGATCATCCTACTTTTGATCAGTTCTTCATTGAATTCAATCGATTGTGATAATTGGTTGGTGGGTCCTTGATGATTCTGCATATCTCCAAGTGTAAAAAGGTGAAAACCACCAATCTTCAGCTTTGAGGGGCGGGCGAGCCGGTTGGCGCTGGACAAACGCAGAGAACTAATGGGTTGTGGTTGTTTTGGTTGTCAGGTCAGCTAATATAAAATGATAGAATTATGAATCCCTTTTCATTTTGTTCTATTCAAACACATTGGAGCGAGCCAGTCATGGGTTCACTGTCTTCAAAGCTATAGATGAGTCTCAAAAGCCACAATTTGGTTATTTAAAGAGATGCCCCTTTAAATGTTTCTGTAAATTTAAGGCATCTTTGTCTAGAAAGGAGAAGTCTGTTCCTTCCTAAAACAAAAGAAACTTGTCTTCACGTGTGAGAAGCCTTGGAAAGCGTGGGCCATGTTCAGCTGTGTGTCTGTTTGTGAATTGTGAAGGCTTTTCTTGTTCTACATGTAGTGGGGATGATATGATAGTTTAAAGGCAAAAAGATGCATTATTTGGACAGAGATTTAAATGCAGAAACCTTAGAGACATACCCAAAGCAAAAGACAAGCATGTCAGGATAATGGAGGCTGCACAGTTGCAGTGAACTGAGCTGACAGCTGAACCTTTTTTAGGTAACACTATATTGTTGTACTACTCTTCTGTCATTTTGAATGAATGGAATGGTAAAACTTCAAATATAGTTTCAGTTTTACATTGCATTTCCCCTTTTTTCGTTTTGTCGACAATAATGAAAAAGTTATAAGGACAGAGAGAAGAAGAAGAAAGTTTGTGGAAAAGTTATGGTAGGGGCATATAGACATCATAAATGTCTCACATGAGTTACAATTATAGTCCTCACTTATTCCTCCCCTTTATTGCCTTGGATTATCGTTAGTAATTATCGGTACTTACC